GTGGGTCCAAAATTTCTACCCTAAACACTTCAACACTCCTTTCAGATCGTGTTTCACAAAATTAGACATAGTTGAAAATGGTCCGCTTAATGCTCTAGCATTGCGAAAAATGTTTTCACATGGTTGTGAACTAAATAAAAATATATTTAATGAATCAATAGGTAACTTTTTGTCTAACACTAATAATAAAATAAAGGTTAACATATGAGCATTTAGTTCAATCGAATGAAAAGCAGCAAATGTTATAAAATGTTTTTCTATTTCCTTTAGAGGTGGTATTTGAGCTTGTCGAACTGTTGTTTTTGTATAGATAATCAATTTATATTTTAACCAAGTTAACCAAAATCTACAAATAAAGACAGTTGACCACGCATAAAATGATCTTTGCAAAATATGTGTTGTTTTATCCACATAAGCAATAGTTACATAATGTAAAATTGTTAAATAGCAATGTGTTGCAAATGTACTTTGATTTTCATCTAATATATTTAAAACATTAATTGATGAAATTTTTAAGCATGATGCATAATTTTGTCTGTCCTTTACAAATATATCAGATAGAACTAAGTTATGTTCGAGCTTTGAACGATTATCTATAAGATTTTGAAGATCTTTCACTGATATGTGATAATTACCCATTACTAATGAAGCAGTTTTTGACAACAATCTATTTCTTAATTTCGTTGCTAAATGAATTCCATCCTGAAAACATAAAAATAACTGCTTTGAACGCATGTAAAACCAAGTCCATGAATTCGGAATTTGTGTTTCAAGAATATCAGCTCTATTCAACAGACTAACATTCGGTAATTGTGAGAAATATCCTTAAAGATGAAGAAAAATGTTTAAAAGTTTAAAATAGTATTTCTGAGACCAATCTAACCTGTTGCCAACCTCATGGCCTTCAAAAACTTTGGATCCGCATCACTTGAGAATCCGACAATCCTAATATTATTAGTATGGCATTTTTCATATATAAATAACCAACGACAAAGAATCGAAATAGAAGTCGTTTGATTATCAGTACCGAATGCTGACAATAGGAATGGTGGTGATCGTTCACGTGTTATTGGTTGAACAGTATGAATATTTACTAATGTAGATTTCTTAACTATGTCAAACCATTTTTCCAATTCAAAAAAGTCATCGGTTTGATATTGACGAATAGATGGTATGCCATTTTTTAATTCAGGACAAAATCCAATAAAAGAATTACTTTCAACATCATAATGAATTTTACTGATAACAGCAGTACAATCTTCTGATGCATATACATAAGAACAATTTATTTTATTTGAATAATTCAGTAATTCATCAAAACGGATTTCACCTTCTTCAATACGTGTACAGAATTCATTATGATAAGATTCTAATGTTGGTATAGATGGAAATGCACCTAGCAAATTTAATCTTAAGAATTGATAAACATTTCGACCACCTAATGCATATACTGATGATGCGAACCGTCGCATATTTGAATTATATTGATAGCGATATTTAGAACGATCCATATTAACAGTAAGATTGCTAATAAATGTATTAACAAAATAATTAGGTTGTTTATTTGAATCAGTTGAGTCTTGTTGATGAGTATGTGATATATATGGTAATTGTTCATGTAATTTAGTTTTTAATACATTTATACAATAATCAAGATTATTTTTTATAGCTGGACGTATCATATATTCACCATCTTTTAGCTGTAAACATGCACGATTTCTTAAATCTTCTAATTCTTTACAATCAAGTTTAAAGATAGAATATAAATCTTGTACTCGTAATAGAGAAAGAACATTATTGATTCCTTGAGCTTTTAAAATTTCAACTTCGATTTCACTAGTCATTTCTTCTATGAGATTAAAAAATTTGTCAGATTTAATTTTGCTAACTTCAAGGAGAGCCTCGTCGTTCATATCTGAAACAATACTCATCTATACCAAATACTGATAAAAAAATGACTGAAACTAATTAACAAAAATTTATTTACTTAAAATCACAAAACTAGTTCTATTTTATATTCAAACAAGAAAATCCAAATATAGCACGAAATCATTGCTAAAACAAGTAAACAATTTCCTTGTACACGATGTTCGAATAACTAAAGAATTGAGTTGTTAAAAATTTATTTTTAACTTATTATCTAATTAATATTTATTCAAAATTATCATTCTATATATATATATATATAAATAAGAACTTTTTTTAGAGAACGATAAAACTATGTTCATCAGACGAAACATGTAAATGTATGTCATACATGGTTCAACGAATGATTATTTGGATTCTGTTTTTTTTTCTATAGTGCACAATTCTGATATTACTGAAAGAAGTTAACAGACACTTGCTGTTCATTAGCAATGTGTTTTAGAATTTCTTTTTAACTTAAATATCTGCTATAGTTTCAGAGAAAAATATAGACATTCGAAAGCTGCATCGTTTCTATGATCATATTGCTAAAAAAATTATTTTTACATTTGAGATAATTCTTTATAATTGATGAGCGTCTCTGATACATGTGATCAAGTCGGATCATATATCTATCTATTTTGTTTTGCGTTATACAATATGCTTTTTTATCACCTCGATCAGATGACTGCTTATCACAGTGAAAACTAATACTATATGACTGAATACTTTTTTTCTATGAGTTTTGCATTTTTCTAGTTTTTCCGCAGCTACTAGGCTATTTCAGTGACAAGATTGCAAAACAAAACACAGTTGATTTATTATCATGATAATTGCTATCGATAATGGTACTTACCAAAATAACTCACGTTCATTCATCTTAAGACGACCTCCGCTTCATCCACCTAAACTTTTCACTTTTTTTTTCATTTTTTATGTAAGACATGTCGAACCAATTGATCTCTGACTAATGAGTACACTTTAGGAAGACGAAAATGTTTTTTTTGTAAGCAAAAAAACTCGAAACTAAACCATTTTATGCGGGAAAATCCAAATTGCAACTTTCTTTGAGTTTTTATCAAAACTAAGTTTTTAAACAAAAACTAGAAGTTTCCCCCTTTTTAATAGAATATGTTCGATCGACCTCAAGATTTCTTAATAAATTTTCTACTTAGACTGGGGCACATATTTCTTGTTTTTCTTGAAAATTTTTTTACTGCAAAGTCTGGCAATCTGTAAAAAATGATTACCATTAAAGAAATCACAGTTTTTTTTAAAGTTTTCAGTATTTTGTTTCTCCTGGCCTGTAGAAACGATATTTTTGAAAGACAACTCCTACAGCTTTAGATTTTTTCGATCATCAATTTAATCATCTTACTGATGCATGAAATTATTCTCAGCTACTTGCGACTATTCCTACCTATCCGCAGCCATTCGCAGTCAATCGTAGCCACTCGCAGCCACTCGTGGCCACTCGCAGCCACTCGTTGCCACTCGCAGCCACTCGTGGCCACTCGCAGCCACTCGTTGCCACTC